TCCTATGGGAACACCAACATCAATCTCACTATACTCTATAGCAGGCGAGTGTGGAAACATATCGATCCAAACTCGCACAGGACCCTTTTTAGGCAGCCAAAAATGCACTGCAGTTGGATTGCATGTGTGTGAACCACCTCTATAGAAACACATGCTATCTAGAAACACATCACCTGTAATGTGAATCAGTGTCCATGCAAACGCATCACAATTTGCATGTGTGTGAACTAGGGCTAATGAACAAGGCTCTCTATTAGCCAAATGTCTTTGTAGGCAGGACCATCCATCATAATACTGCAGACTTGGGCCATACCAGTGACCCTGCTAAAATACTTCTGTAATTTCATAAGCAGATGCAGTACCTTACTGCTTCTACTAACTTTAACCGCTTCCAGTCCATCGATGGGAAAGATGCGGCCAGCAGCATCTCGTTCCAGGGACACTCACTGTGTGACATCAGAAACCAGACGCTATGAGGATTTTGTCATTGCCAGTTCTTTGTTTACCTAGCAGTTACCAGCCAGTGAAGCAGCCAGATCAGACTGATCTGTGTCTGGCTCCACTGGAAGCCAGAGGAGAGATCTGGGGGTTTCTTAGGTGCTGTTCCACATGTGAACGCATTTTCAAAGCTTGACATGTTCGGTATCTATTTACTTGGCATAACATCATCTTTTACATTTTACCAAAATTGGGCATCGTATTGTGTTTTGTGCATTAAATTTAATTAAAATGTATTTTTTTCCCCAAAAAAACATAAAATATGCATTTGAAAAAAAACGTTTATGCACAAATATCATGTGACATGGAAGTGGCTGAAATATGCAACACCCACCATTTTATATTCTCTGGGGCCTGTGCTTAAAAACATCTCTGATTTACAGCCCTATATGGTTGGGGGTTCCAAGTATTTTTCTAGTAGAAAAAATATGTTGTTTTTTTTACATATCTGTAGAAATAAACCTACTACACTATGAGTTCTGAGAAATTGATATGCCAGGTGGGAATATTATATCTGGAAGTGGCTGAAGCATCCCTGGTTATAACTTCTTTTCTGGCCTTCCCTGTGGTCTCCCAGTTTGGCAAGTTACACGCTAGGCTCAAATCCTCTATATCTTCCACAGATACACTTAGTCATTAAATCCTTGAAAACTACCAAGCTCTCTGATGGCTTTACAGCCCTATACTATATAACATTCACACATCTTTGTCATCCATTACCTTATTTTGATCTCTTGAAAAGACAATAAATTACTATAGACCCTGACATTTTGCGGGCTGCAGTGGCCATCATCCTGATATAGAGCACCGACCACCATAACTGGTCCAATTTTTGACCAACTGATACAAGTTAGATGTCAAATTACTAGCTAAAATCTAAGCCTTTAGGCTTAACAATGAGATCATCACTCATTAGCAAGGACCAAGTGAGCTGCATACCCACTTACCAAGCAACGGACAACATTCACCAACGTCTTTACATACATTTGGCCAAATTGCACCAGATCATTGTTTCCTTTGGTCTTGGACAAAAAATATGGTCCTACTTAACCTACATGCTTGAAAAATGGGGATTTAGCTTGCAATTCCTCAAGTAGGTGCAAGCACATAAAATACAGGCTGCCATTTGAGGTCTCCAGAGACACACACCTGGCTCTCCTCTCGTGCTTACACTGGCACCTGAGCTTCTAACCACAACTACCTAAAATATACATGAGGCGGTATCAAAAAGTTTTGATACTTGAACCCAAGGCCTTTATTCAATATGTAGGCATTCACTCCCTGCAGTACACTATCTCTAGAGGCCTGGCCCTCCTCATGTTCTACCCTCTCACCTTACTTCCTAATTGAACCCTCCTGCTGTCCAGGTACAAATCAATCTCAAGGCTCCAGGTCAATCAAGGCAAATCCAAGCCCTGAACATCAAACATTTAACGCTCCAGTTTTATTTGCCTTTTCGGTGGGAAATGACAAGCCACCATAATTGGGGATTTGCATTACATCAAATTATGACATATTATACATGCCAAATATCTCAGCTCTTCTATGACAAACCAAGCTACTCCCTGAATAATGGAAATGTTACCAAATATCAGGGACTTGGCGTCTGAAAATCCTGTATCCCATTAAAAGTGTTACCAATCGCTATACTGTCTAATATACTGCATTTATTAGAATGTGCCTTCATTCACTGTAATTTGGGGGGCTCTTTTTGAGTCTTTAGAAAAAAATAAAAATTAAAAACAACGAGAGAAAAAAAGAATTATCTTCTAGCAAAGAGGATTCAGTGGACTATCTTTGCCTTATATCCATCCCCTTGCTTTCTTATGACTATTATTCAAGGACCTCTTTGGTTTAGCCTGTAAGAAGCAGAAACTGCCCCTACTGCCACTGTTATGACCTTCAGGGAAAAGGCATTCTCTCGGCTATATACTAGTCCTTACTGGAGGGCCAAAGGTCAACTCCCTTATCTTATATGGAATACTGGAAGAGAGACCTTAAAGCAGTAATAAACACCCCAAATATGTATTATACTGTAGCTTACCAATCCTTAAAATTTGATGGCTGCCTTTGTTTTTTTTGTTTTTTTTATTCTCACCTGGTGTTTTGGCCAGTAACAGAATTTCTGTCATGACTCCTATCTGAGGAGGAGCAACAGAATCACCCTTAGACAGCAGTACGGTCGAGAGGGTAGTAAAGTTACATGGACTAATAGACTTGGATGGACTTTACAAAATCGACTAACAATATATAGCCTTTTGCCAGCTAACACTTTTAGCAATTACACAAAACCATTTATTTTTTTGTTTTGGAAAAAAGCTTAAATTAATATGAGGACTACTGTAAGCACACCTGTCAGCACTAAATGGTTTGTCTCATTTGCTGCACAGCCTGGTCTGTTAAGGGAATGTGAAAAACAACATTAGGATCAACAGGTCAAAAAAGCCACAGTAACAGAGGACACAGGAAAACAGACTGCTTTGTTGATTTATATGATAAGTCCTACCTTGTAAAACAACCCATTCAGTTTAAAATAAAAATGCAAGGCAAAACATTTGTGTACTTATACAAAAAATGATTTATAATTCTTTTTTAATATAAGAGATCACAGAATCTCTGTTCTCAGCTGCATAAGGGTCAAAAAAGAGGTGGGGGTGGAAAATCAGCAGTACACCGATGTCCCCAGTGAAGGTATGTGCTGGGGGGGTCGTTTCAAGTAGACATCAGACCACTGGAGGAAAGGCAGGCTGATCACCCAGGACTACCTGAAAACTGACCATGCTGGGATGGATGTGCTCTTATGCCTAGCGTGGTCAGTTTTTAATAGGAAACCAGGGGGACTGTCAGGAACATCAGGGATTTCACACAAAGCAATACAAAGAGAACAGTATATGTTTTACCACAAGTACATGGTACAGCAGACACATCAGGAATTTGAAATGTTGGGGTAACATACTCTTTAATGCTAGTGACAGGCTGCATCATGTGTCATTTTTGATTTTGCCTTTACTACCAATTAATAGGCATTTGGACACATTAGAATTAAAATATGGGACTCTATGGTCCGCTGCTGTATGATTTCAATGACCACTGAAGCCAATTACAAGCTGTTTATGCACGGGTACTTGGTACTGCACAGGCAAGGCCAAATTTGTTCCTGGAGCCTCTCCTCCCCCGTTTTCAAGGTTGCACTGATATAGGGACTCTCCTCAGTTTGGTGGAGCTGCCCTCAAATTAGACACTACTGGAACGGTGTCTACTTATATAAGCACATTTGAGGGGAAAAAAAAAAAAATATCTATTGAAGGCCCTGTTAAGTCTAAAAACAGAGGGATACCCCAGTTACCAGTTTGCTTTGCAGTTGTGGTTTTTCAACTGCAAAGCAAACCTTACCAATAGTATGAAAATCTGCTACTTCAACAGTACAACAAATTAAGCAGATGTCTTGGTACTTAAATAAAAAACCATATGTGATACTTTATGGCTCTCTGCCTAACTTTCAAAGGGTCTGGACACCAGATAAACTATCAGATTATTGGATGAGCTCTGGAGCTTGTACATAAGCAAGGCAAGACCACGCCAATCTTTCTTCAACTTTCTACCTTTTCCATTACCTATCTTTGTGTTCTGTTAGCACCAAGGGACCATAAACTGCAGGTTTATGATTCTGTGTAAACAGGGTCTTATTAAATTTCATTGTGCATTCGTTATTAGTCCAGTTTGATATTTTATTGCAGTTTGTGCACCCTAATGTCATTCGTTTTTATGTCCATCACTGAAGAAATATTACCTGTGTCCTTGCTTAATTTTTGTAAAACTCAAAAATAACCTAATGTACGGTAACACAAACATCAATTCAGGGAAATAGGCTGCTGAAGTTATATGCAAACTTTCCTGCAAAGGTTGAGTTAGGTCCTACCCCATCCTGCTTCCAAAGCCTCCTTACTGGTGTGGGAGGCTATTCATCATAGGGGACCCAGACAGGTAAAAGACATCCCTATATCTCTGGATCTACATATTTTGGCATGTGGTTTTCAGGGAAGGTAACCTCTGCTTATACAGGTGTACATCTTACACTCCAAATATACTCAAATTGTAGGGTTTTTAAAGAATATTTTAGTCTGGGGTTGACAGTGAGGGGGTAGATGCACTCACTGGCATCATTTATTGTGAAATACTCCACCTCTTTCCACTGGATCTTAAACTTCAATACCTTACCACAGCCATTAGGGGCCAAGCAATGGAATTTCCCACATCTTGCTGTATTTTACAAGACTAGGATAAGCTCTTGCAGTAGTTGAAGTAGATGGTCAGAAAAGAAACCCAGGTATAGACCCACTAACAAAATTAAAGCAGCTGGGGGTAAATCAATTCAATAGTACTGTACCAAAAAATTTAATTATACAATAAAAAATTATGTGCAGCATTATGTACATGTTTGTTATTCCCAGCAAGAAATTTCTCTAATTCAGTAAAACACAAAAGAAATACTCTGACTTTACCCCATGCTTCACGGTTTTAGCTGCATGAGCGGCTTTCTTCTTGGTATCATACTGTGTTAAAATATCAATGAGTCCCATGAAATAGACCTCTTTCTGTGGAGCACCTGTAAAATTGCAGACAGAACAGATATGTCAAAGTCCAGTATATGTTTTATTAAGTATGATTTATGATGTGCCTTTCCCCCTGTCTGATTATAGCAAAAAAAAAAAAAAAAAAATCCCAGTGGTGAATACTACCAAAATAAAGCGTTACCTGTCTAAAAAAAAATGCTAAAAAATTTATATGGGTACAGTGTTGCAAGACCACGCAATTGTCATCGAAGTGTGATAACGCTGAAAGCTGAAAATTGACCTGGATAGGAAGGGGGTAAAAGTGTCTGGACTTGAGTGGTAAACGCATAGCCTCGACTCCCCCCCCCCCCCCCCCTCGAACATCCAGTCTGCCCTGCATTGCAAAGGAGTTCAGCAGTCATCTTTTGGGTTACTGCTTCCTCCATTACAGACAGTTTATGACCCTACTTGTGAACAACAAGGTTGCAAGTTATACAGAAGAGACTCCATATGCCAGAGCCAGTTGCTGAATGTGTTGATTAAAAAAAAATGCACCATTTCTTTTGTACCATGCAAATTGCTAATTTACGTGCACCTAATACTGCCTGTGATTTACTGCACTTAGTCTTGTGCCCCTGGTGTGTCTTTTTGGCTCTACAGATTACCCACAAACCCACCAATTGAGTTGGCTGGTACCATGATGTCCTGCTATGCTGAAGATTACCACCAGAGGCCCTAACTTATTGATGAGTGAGTTTTTATAACTGTTGGAGTGAAAGACAATTGGCAGTTTACACAAATACATTTATTTTTTTTTACATACTTAGATCGTGCCCCCTCCTCTCTCTATATGTTCACCCAGAGTTACTTCAATCTCAAAGGAGGTCAACTATCTGAGGTCAGCAAAATGTCACCCTGGATATTCCAATTGAACTTACGGACTGTTTAACTCATTATCAGTATACACATGACATTCATTGCACCATATAGCTCCCCCACACCTTTTTTTTTTATGTACAGGATCTTTAGTCTTTAACCATGAGTTAATATATGCAGCTGTCTTCAGGTGATGGGACAACTAGCATCAGTTTTGCAGCAAGCAGAGATCAAAAAGAACAGAAGGTTACCTGTGTCCTGAATTCTGCTCCAAGAAATCTATTTTATTGGCAACTCAAAAACCCTTTTGTCTTATTGTCTTGGTTGTACAGTACAGAACACCAGATCTTTAGTTTAACCATGGGACATCCAAAAGCAGTCCAACTGAGGGGTAAGCAATATAGTGAACAAAACGCCAACAGGCGGCACAAGAAGGGCATGACAGACCCAGAGAGAAGCTTTTAGTACAAAGCAGAGGGGGGGCTGAGCAGCAACCTGGAAAGGGTTTAGCTGAATTAATTGCCAGGTTGAAAATCCAACATCCAAGCGACAGTCTGGCCTTGCAGGTCAGATGTACGGCTTTGTCCAAGAACTAAGCGCTTTTCCTACACTATCAGAATGTTTAGTTGCAACAAATGTATGGCACTGCCATAAGGAAGACCATCAGGCCCCAGACTCTCATGCAAGCATGAATCAAGGGTCGACCTGGGACAAAAAAAGCCCGGCACAAGAGTGGAGGGACAGAAACTTGTCCCAGGGTAGGAAGGTCCTGGACAAAGCCAAACACAATTTCAGGCCCAGAAAAGCCTAATCAATAAGCTGTTTTCACCGATGACTTTTGCAGGTTCAGATACCAAAAAATGCTGCAGACCCTGCATTGGCCACTGGATATTAGCTAAAAGGGATAGGGAGGACTGATCCATTGACAAGAGATTGTTCGGGAAACCCAAATTTGAGAATCCCCTGGGAATGGTACAGACCTAGAACCAGAGGCAATCACAATGGTGAAGACCAGAGAGCGGTGGGGGGTGGGAAAGGGCTGTGGACAGAGAGGAAGAACAAATGCTCATCACTTAAAAATGATGATAGTGTTAGAGGAAAAAAAGTGTCTGGACTTGAGTGGTAAACGCATAGCCTCGACACCCCCCCCCCCCCCCCCCCATCCAGTCTGCCCTGCATTGCAAAGGAGTTCGGCAGTTATCTTTTGGGTTTCTGCTTCCTCCATTACAGACAGTTTCTGACCCTACTTGTGAACAACAAGGTTGCAAGTTTTACAGAAGAGACTCCATATGCCAGAGCCAGTTGCTGAATGTGTGGATTAAAAAAAATGCACCATTTCTTTTGTACCATGCAAATTGCTAATTTACGTGCACCTAATACTGCCTGTGATTTACTGCACTTAGTCTTGTGCGAAAATAAAGAAAAAAGACCAGAGGGTAAAGGACCCAGAGGCCAAAAAGGGGGTCCAAATGAGGACAAACTGCAGCCTTGAAAACCAAATAATAAACAAAAATAATTTAATTTGCAGTAAAAAAAAGTACAAATATCACAAAGATATATATACGGCATGATAAGCCAAAATATACAAAAAATTACCTCACCACCACCCAGGGGGAAAGAAAGTCAAAAGCAGAATGGCAAGATCAACCTGGACTACACAAGACATGCAAAAGTCCCATAAAGATGTGATAAATAGTAGACCTGTGATGAATAGTATAGTCTCAAAATTTGAACAAGACCGTGAAGATGACAAGCAGGTGATGATATAGATAGCTCAAGAAGGTATGGTGAGTACCAAGGACAGGATTCATGTATAAATCACATAACCATATAAACATACACGAGAAGTGCATAATAATCAATCTAGATAAACATGATCCTTGACGCAACCATCAAAAATAATTGATATAATCCCTAGTATCAGGGTAAAGAGCTGAAGGTCATTCCTCAGGTATCAGGTAAAGTATGAAAGTATTACAGATCTCTCATCAAAAATATGCGGTTAGGCTTGTGGTACAAAATTATGTAGAATACATCTCCTCAATATTGCAAGAGTGGTTTGATGATGGAAGGGAAATGGCAATATATGACATAATATGCCCAATTTCCCAAAGGTCATTTAGACAGTCAATGATTATCATGTAGACATGTATCATACAGATGGCATAATAGCTTGGTGGAGCCCATAATATGCATAATATATAGATGCCTTGCATACTTGAAGCACGAGGGGTTGTCAGGTGAAGACCCAGTTCAGGAAAAGTCCACAAAAAATGCAGATATGGTAAAGTGGAAAGCTTGTATCAAACCTGTAACAGCTAATAGTCATCAACCGACCTGTAGCCCATGCGGGGATAGTTGCTGAGGTCAGTGGAGTGGAATCCTGTGTGTTAACAGGTGAAGATCCTCCCAATATAGGGAAAGCTATCAGCCATTGTTGGGTCAGATTCCTGTTGCCAGCCCCAAAAGTGCCGTGATAATAGGCTTGTAATGCAGAGTTATGTAGAAGACATATCTATAATATATCAAGAGTGGTTAGATGATGGCTATAAAAATGGCAAAATATAGCATAATATGCCCAATATCCCAGGGATCTTTTGGCCAGTCAATGATTGTCATGTAAACATGTATCATGCAGATGGCATAATTGTTTGGTGGAGCCGGTAGTATGCATAATATATAAATGCCTTAAATAATGGAATGGATGATTTATGACATACCACACATACCACATATGACATACCGCATATAGCGGTGCAACATAGTGGCTAAGGATGGCAGCCGTACATGCCGTAAGGAAAGCCGTGGCTCCACAGAGAAAATGTATGGATGTCAGGTCCTGCAGTCTGACCGAGCCACTCCGCAGGGCTGCGCATGTGCCAGCGTGTCCAGGAGGTGACGTTGACGCGTTTCGCCCACTACATCACATGGGCTTCTTCAGATAAAGGCAGCCATGTTAATGGAGTCCTTATATAGTAACACAAAGCTCTTTAACGGCCAATAGGTGTGTTCTTTAAATTTAACAATGGCTGAGAGGGAACAAAAAAGATCAATGACATTCACCAATAAATGCAGTTAACACTTAAAAGAAACAAAAAGAAAAGCAAAGGATCAAACTATATCAAAGTTATATATATATATATATATATATATATATATATATATATATATATATAATATATATATATATATCTCCACCAGAGATAGAAGACATATATGGCTGAAACAGGTAAATAAAATAATCAAAACAAAAGTTTGTATGAACAAAAAGTGGAAAACAAAAGACAAGGGATATGGCACACCCGGAGAGAAAAAAAAAAATTATATGCAAAAGATCGATCAAAAAAAAAAAAAAAAAAAAAAAAAAAAAAAAAAAGGGGGGGGGGGGGGGGGTTTGGAGGAAGGGACCTATTTGTTAGTTGTGAATGCTTGGACACACTTTAATAACTAAAGACAGCAAAGTTAAGGCTTCAAAAATGCCTGGAGGCTAAACTCATTGTTGAGGCCAAAGGGTACCATGGATCCTAATTTAAAGATCCATTCCTTTTCTTTCTGAAGGTGAGCAGTATCAAAGTCTCCTCGTCTTGAGGACAGTTTAAGCACATAAATGACCTTGGCACGCAAATCAAATCATTATAATCCGAACAGTTACGGCGTATTCGAAGGAACTGACCGGTAGGTATACCTCTAACGAGGGATTGAGGATGATGACTTGATGCCATTAACAGGTTATTTGCTGCAGTGGTTTTACGAAACGTTTTGGTAAGAAGTCGATCGACCCTTACCGAGATTGATAGATCCAAAAAGGAGATCTGATGTAAATCAAAAGTATAGGTAACATTAATGTTCCTATCATTCTGATTAAGCTAAACAAGGAATTGATGAAGGTCCGTGACGCTACCCGTCCATAGCATCAAAACATCATCTATATATATATATATATATATATATATATATATATATATATATATATATATATATATATATATATATCTTTGTGATATTTGTACTTTTTTTTACTGCAAATGAAATTATTTTTGTTTATTATTTGGTTTTCAAGACTGCAGTTTGTCCTCATTTGGACCCCCTTTTTGGCCTCTGGGTCCTTTACCCTCTGGTCTTTTTTCTTTATTTTCCCATTTATGATTAGGGTCCCGAGGATACCACATATATATAT